CACACAGACACACACAGACACACACACAGACACACACAGACACACACACAGACACACACACACACACACAGAGACAGACACACACACACACACACACACACACACAGACACACACACACACACACACACACAAAGACACACACACACACAGAGACACACAGAAAACACATACACACACACACACACACACACACACACACAGACACACACACACACACACACACACACACACACACCACAGTCCACCTCTACACAGAGATCTTTCTGTAAAAGCTAAAAAAACATGAAGAAAACGAGCAGCGAGCGGAAAAAACATCGGGTCAGAACATGAGGAGCAGATCTCTGCACCAGAACCAGAGATCCAATCAGAACCAGAACCAGAGATCCAATCAGAACCAGAACCAGAGATCCAATCAGAACCAGGCAGAGTTTCAGGTAAATTAATGCTGAGCTCGTTCCACCAGCTTCATATTAAGATTTGGGTCCAAACCGTCACTCAGGATCTAAAATCCAGTGATGATGTCACTTCCTCCATCAAAGCAGGCAGAACCACCCAGAAGTTCTGGAAGCTTTCTGGACCTTCTGGTTCTTCCTGAATAGAAACCAAATCCATCTGATTAAAAAGCAAACTCAACCGTCTTCATGCTTTGACTAGACCGTTTCTCCCATCTCCTCCCTGGAGGAAGATGGATCCTTAAGTTTTATCCAAAAGCTGCAGAAACAAAACGTCATTTTTCTAATCCAGCAGATCCAACTGTCTGGAGGTCAGAAACAGCCGAAACGCGACCCAGAGCGGAACCGGTCCAAAACTGATGATCAGAACGAGCCGAGAGCATCAGAACAGAGAGACGGAGGATTTTAACCTCCAGAACTGGACTTCCTTTGGTTCTGGTCCATCAGTCCAGTTCGCTTCATATTAAAGCTTTTGGCTTTATTAGTTGTAAAAATAAAACTGATGAAGAAAGAAATCGCTGAAATTTCCAGGTACTGCTGAAGTCCTTGAATGCACCATCAGTTTGTTCTGTTGGTTCAAACGGAGCCAGGTTCTTCGTTTTCAGGTCCAGAAACCAGGACAACCAGAAAGTTAAAGTTCTGGAACATTTTCTGCTCTCCAATCAGGATTAGATTAAATATTACAGGAGTGTTTATTAATTATTAATCAATTTATTAATATTATTGGTGTCATTGGAGAAAATAATTCACTAGTTTCAAACTTCTAAAATTCTCTGGTCCAAATTATCCTGGAACGACTGCGGGGTCGGTAGAACCATGATCCGGATCGCCTCGAGGAAAAACACACACTTTTCTCTGGAGGGAGGACACACACACACACACACACACACACACTCAGTGATTTACGTCACCGTGTCTCTCCAGAACAGAACCGACTGTGATGAACTGAGAAAGTATTGATTCGGCTCCCAACAGAGGCAAAGCGGACCTTTATTCCTCAGACAGGGGAACGGCCCTCATGGGGCCCTCATGGGGCCCAATTCCTCAGAAACACACTCGCGTTTCATTACTTCAGCCTCAGGAGACTACAGGACGTGTTGGAGCGACTTCAGACTTTCAGCTGACAGTCAGGGGGTCAAACCCAAAGGTCAGCAGCTAAAACCTCCCTGGGACACCCGAGAGGCCCAGAAAGCGGCCAAGGACACGTTCAGGTCCTACTGGGTCACATCAGGGTCACATCAGGACCGAACCCCTGGCTGGACTTCCACATGTCCGGTTGTCCCTGAAGGCAGCAGGAATCGTGTCCCAGGAGGGAAACTGTCGGAGGTTTGTGGACCCTCTGTGTCCTCGCTGTCAAACGTCTCCATGGCAAAGCCAACGTGAGGGGAATCAGGACGAGGCGCGCGCCCTCCCGGTGCGTGCACGCGGCCCCTTACCGGCCCGTTATCTCTCGCGCCGGGTTCGTGACCGACAGAAAATGGAGCGAGGACCGGTGAGGTCACCGAGCCCCGCAGGCTGCGGGAGCTCCGGGTCTGCTGCCTTCAGGAGCCCAAAATAACTCCGGAAATCACAGCCCGAGAGGCCCGGGCGGCGCTGTACGTCCCGCATCTATCACGCACCTGTTCGGCGTGGAAGCGCGTGACCGCCCGGATAATGTCATGGACAAGAGACCCTCCAAAACCGAAAAACAAAAAAATTTCTACCGAAGCTGGAGCGAGTATCCACGGAGCCGCGGGGCTCAGCAGGCGCTCTGCCCGGACTCCGGGCTCCGTCTGGCGGCTGCAGCAGCTCCGGGAGCCTCCGCTGCTGTGCGCAGACAGCGGAGGAAAAACAGCTGAGAAAAAGAAGGGGAAAAACAAGGAAGCGAGAAAGGAAGGAAGGGAGACTGACCGTGAAATTCCTCCCCGGATAAGCCCTCCTGTCCCCCGCGGTGGCGGCGCTCCGTGTGCGGCTCCGGCGGACAGATATAGCTCTGTGCTCGGTGTCAGATCTCCTCGGTCCCTCCTCCTCCTGACAGGCTGCTCCAAAGTTAGCAGCAGCAGCGCTCCTCAATCAATCCAGAGGTCTCCGAACCAGCACCGGGACCAGAACGCGAACAAAGCAGCAGAATCTTCCTCCGGAACTAGAGGGAGGGGATCAGGTGGATGTTCCGGAATCTCATGAAAAACGGCGTTTTTCCTGAAACCAGCTGAAGGACAGCCGATGTCGGAGCTCAGCAGCCTCCACGGCAGCCAGAGTCCCGATCCCCGGCGGAGCTCCACGCAAATGTCCGCTGCTTTCCACCCGGAGGAGAAGAAGGAGGAGGAGGAGGGCAGAGCCCAGCATTTTCTCAATGACTCCTCCCACAGGCTGCTGCCTCCTCCTCTTCACCCACTGAATGTGTTCTGCTTCTCCTCTGGACGGTTCCGAACCGCTTCCCTCCAGCAGAACCCGCCTGGTTCCGACATCCCAGTTAGAAATCAGGTTTTTCTGAGAATCTGCCAGAACTTTTTAGCTCCTCCCACCGCCTCTTCTTCAGACCCGCAGCAGTTTCATACTTTATGCCTCTCTACATTTTAGCAGCGCTTCAAATAAAGCTTAATTGGATATAAAACCTCTGCTGATGAATTCATAAAATCAGCTTCAGCAGCAGTTTCTAAAGCCGAACACTGAACCATAACCTCACTCTGCCACAGAGTTCCCATTCAGCAGAGCAGCCTCGGTTTCCGTCATCAGCAGCTGAATCCCACCTCAAAGGATCGACATGTTAAATATTACATCGAGCCAAAGAACGACCACAGATTGATCATTTAAACCGGCAAGGCTGTTAGAAAGGACTGGAGGAGAAAAGCTGCCTGATCTCTGAAGCAACAGGAGTTCAAAAAGCTTCATCTGGATGGAAACTTATGGACCAGATGGGACATAAGACATGTTCGACCGGGTCCGGTTCTTCTCACAACCTCTGAATCATTTCTATTTTGTTCTTGGTAAAAGACTACAAACTATTTCTTCCACTAGCGCTAGACTAGCGTCCCTGTTTCAGTTACCCAGAATGCCCTGCGCTGTAATCCACTTCCTGCTTTTGAATGCATAATCAAACTCTGGTCCTCCAAACCTCGGTCTGGTTCAGTTTGAATGTGAACACCAAGCGGACCGGAGACCGCTCCAAAAGCAGGAAGTGAACTACAGCGCAGGGCATTCTGGGTAAATACAACCAAAGCTAACATTCTAGCCTAGCGCTAGCAGCAGAAATGGCTCCTGGTCTTTAGCCTAAAGAGAAATCCTCCAACCGCTAAAATCCTCCATCTTGTTTCCATCTGGTGAAGAAGGAAGTTGCTCTCAGTGTCTTCAGAGGTTTTTGTGTCGTTTCCTTCAGTGGTTCTTGGTGCAGCGCCCCCACAGGCCAGGAGGGGAACAGGCTGGTTTGACTCAGAGCAGCTGGAGGTGGAGCAGATGATGGAGTTTAAAAGTTTCAGCTTCTCTGCCGCTGAACTGATGGATCATGTTGAACGTTTTTACTCAGTGATTCTGGATTTTGGTTTATTCTTCACACATTAAAAGATGATGAACTTTGAAGGCTGTGCTTTCTTCACATGTCAGCATTTAACAGGTTAAAGGTCACGGGAACCTGCTGACATGCAGTTTTTATCTCAGGAACAACTGAAGGAACAAAGGCTCCGGTGGCGAAGTGTTCGACGTCATCATGATCCGTTCATCCGGATCCGTTCATCCGGATCAGTTCAGGAATCTGTTCGCTAAGCAGCAAACAGCCTGCTGCTAGATTTATACTCAAAATTCATAAAAACCAGATCAGATAACTGAGAATCAGTCAGCATCCTGCTGGCTGCTGAAGGTTTCAGGGAGAAACTCCAGACTCCGTGTTGGGAGTCTGCTGGGAGCGTTATCCTCCACAGGTTCTGGTTCTGGTTCCATCCTCCTCGCCTGCTCTCTTGATTAGAAACGGACTGTAAACCTGAGCTTTGTTGCAAACGTCTGCAGGCAGAGCGTGAGCTTCAGCAGCAGAAACGCGGCTGATGGATGTGTCCTGAAGGGAAGGTCGACAAGGTCCGGAATTCTTTAATAGATTCCCAACGAAGCGCTCCGAGTCATTTTCTCCATTCCCTGGGTAAATGTCACCCCACCGAGGCTTTTCAGAAAGAGTCTGAGGAAGTCAGAGGCCTGGAGCAGAACTTTTGATTCCAGCAGAAACGGCTTAATTCCAGTTAATCTCTGGAGTGATGAGGACGGTTCTGGTTCTGATCGTATCTCTGTATCCGCATCGCGTCGTTGGCTGTCATCTGGATTATTGGAATAATGGGATCATCACCAGAGACAAGAGGAGGAACTGTTTCATCCAATTCAGCTTTAATTTCTCACATCAAGCAAACAGCGGTGAAAGAAATTCAACATGAAACCGTCGGAGATTCTGGTACCGTTCAATAAAACATGAAGAGAGATCGTTCTGAGGCCAGAGGAGGGAAACAGCCGGGTTTAAAACGTTCTGCCAGCACCTCAGCTCCAGCTGAACCGGAACAAAACGGCAGCGACAGATTTAGTTTGTATACACAACATTAATGTCATCATTCTTAGTTTTTCCAGGAAAGATGATCTAACATTCAGCGAGCTGAACTCAACCAAACAAATCTCAATTTCTTTCCCCAAATGTGACTGATTCAACTTTTCCTCCGCAGTCTGAGCGCCCCAATTCGGATCTTTTATCTCCAAAAACTCAGATCTATGCCACTTCCTGAAGTGGAACTACATCCAACAGTCAGTAGTTCTCAAAGCGTCTGCAGTCTGAACCATCATGTCGCATTTTATCAGCTTTTTCATAGGAGCATCCAGAGGTGGCTCCCATTCACTGCCTCACTGGCAGCCAAACGGCCCCCACAGCATGCTGCCACCACCACCATGCTTTGCAGTTTGGCGTTTTTGGTTCCCGGGTTGCTGATGGATTTCCTTCCATCTGAGCTGCAGTTCGGGTCAGACGGTTAAAGCTGGACACAGCTGGTTGTTGCAGCAGCATAATGATCCCAGACATGTTCAGATGTTAGAAACATGCTGTCATTTTATTTTAGTGAAGCCCTGAAGAGCTGAAGCTTCAGGGTCTCGCAGTTCGTTCAGCAGCAGAACCAGGTCTCCAGTCAGATGGCTGCTGGAGCCTCATATCGACCACATAAAACACGGAGCTGAGGTGCAGCATGCTAACTACACATTAGTGTGAGTGTGTGAATAAATGCGAGTCTGTTTGTGTAAGTTTGACTGAAAACTTAAAGCAGTTTGTTGCAGATAAAGTTGCCCTGACAGGAGCAGGCAGCAGAGAGCCAGCAGGGACTGAAGTCAGTGTTGTATTAAACTAACAGCTGCAGACAAACACACAGAGCGGAGGGAGAATCTCCCAGAGTCTCTGCACCGATGCAGGGAATGCACCAGGCGAGCCTCGTCCAGGCGGCCGTGTCTAATGCAAAGCGGCAACCGCCGCCCCCCCAATCAGGACTCCCCTCATTGTTGAGAACGTGCTGCTAATGCGGCCTTATTATGCTTTAATTACCTGCGGCGCGGCCTGGGAGACGGAGAGCAGCAGCTGTTAGGAACAAACTCTGGAGCTGCTCACATCTTTACAGACAGCAGGTAAATTGATTATCGAACGGCAGGCATTCAGAGCGCGTCGGGTTATCGGATGAGCGCGTGATGGAAAATCTTCACTCTGAACTCCATCAATCCAACACGACGATGAACTGCAGCACGCCGTCCGACGGGCCGGAACCGGCGGCAAAGCCCCTCTCTCTGAGCTCAGACAGAAATATCTGTGTGACATCAGCCATCTGAGCGTAAGGGCGTGTGTGTGTGTGTGTGTGTGTGTGTTTCCTGCCAGAGGAGGGTACAGAATGTGGGTTAGGGTGTCGTCCTCCTTATTAATATTTCATCTCAGCTCTGGCAGAAAGAAATGGGCTAAAGAAACCACACACACACACACACACACACACACACACACACGCACACACACACACACACACACGTTTTTCTGAGCCTGAATTGTTCATTTCTGTCGATCTCACACCCTGTTGACCCCGATGACCTTTGCAGCTTGTCATCTCCATCTTCAGTTCTTAAAAATCATAGAAAGTCTCACTGAATCTGTTAATTTGTGTTTATCATGTTTAATGTTCATAAAATCTCGACCAAGTCTCACTGGAGACCAACTCACAGCTCCTGGCACTCAGCTAACTGTTTAGCCCAAAATTAAATAGTTAGCTCTTAGCTATCTAAATATTTAGCTTAAATCTGAGCTAAAGATGTACCTTCATGTAAATATTTAGTTTGGAATGAAATATGTAAACTAAATGTTTAGCTTGAATGAGTTTAGGTAATTATTTTGTTAAACTATATATTTAGCTCCAAGCTAAACTTGTAGCTCAGAAGTATTTAGTTTGGAGCTAAGCAGCTAGCCTGCTAACTTAGCATTTGGAGCTAAATATTTACTATGAAACTGTGGACATATGAATAACATGATGAAAATATGAGAAATTAACTTCATTTTTTCTGAGTAACACAGATGTTTATGTCAGCGAACATGAGGGAAGGCCAGCCGATGTTAGAGTTTTTTTTGGGTCACAGTGTGTGTCTGAGGTCAGAGGTCATGTCGGACAGTAACCCGGCCCAGTGGGGTGGTCTCACCGTGACCCACGCCCAGTCCAACCTCACGCCCCCTGCTGGCAGCTCTGCACCATCACTGGTGTGACCAGTTGAGCCCAAACTGGTCCGCTCCCGTCACAGTGGATGAACGGGTCCAGCAGGGAAGCTGCTGCTCGTTTCTCCTGAAATCTTCTCAGTACCTGAAGGCGTCGGCTTCCATGATGACAACAAACTCATGTGACTGGAGCAAATAAAACACAGACTCATCATTTCCTGTTGGACAGGAGATGAAATGACTGGCTGCCACTACGACCAGGAGCAGACTAAATTACAGAGCTGTGAGGATTATCAAGCTGCACAGCGGCTCTT